GTTTATGTTGTGAAGGACAAATATTTATGTTTTGGCTTTAGACATTAACAAACCTTTTGTTTTTTTCTACAATTCCTTTTGCTGTCTTTCAGTGTTCTTAACACAACTCTACAAAGCAGAATTCCATTAATATATGGGTACTATTCTGTTATCAGGGTTGGATTCAAGAAATGTATGAATATATGCATGTGTGTATGTATGTGTATGTGCATATAAGTATGTGTGTATGCATATATGTATGTGTATATATCCATGTTGCATTAAGTCTATGCCACACTTCATAAACCGTATTGGCTGGAGAAAGTGGGGGCAGACCTTGCTCTCAGCAACTCATGATCAGATGTTTTCAGTGGGTGACAGATTTGGAGACTGTCAAGGCTAGGGAAGCAGTCAAATACCCTGTGTAATTGAGGAATGGCAGAACACGATGTGCAATATGTGATCTTGCAGGAACAGGGCATTTGGAGTCCTCAAAGGTAGAGCACAATCACTGGATGTAAGATGTCAGAAATGTACCCTTCTGCATTCAAATTACCATCGACCTGAACTAGAGACGTGGGTGTCGTGTAACCAATGGCTGCCCAAACCACACCAGGTGCAGGGCCCCTGTGGCGATATCGAATGCAAGCAGGTGACGTCCAGTCTTCTCAGACACTCCAGACACATATATAGCCATCAGAATACTGCATGTAGAACCGAGACTCGTTTGAAAAGGCAACATTGTGCTATTCCTGTACCCAGCTTTGTTTTTTGGCACACCAGAGTTGCTGTCTCTCTCTATACTGTATTGTTAAGGGAAGCCGAAGTAATGATCCACACTGCTGCAAGCATCGATGCACCATACAAGCTGATACTGGGCATGCTGCAAACATGCCCATTTCCTGTCTTATGGTCTGTGATGTGGTCATGCGATTTTGCAGGGGTGACCTCACAATATGTCTGTCCTCTCTGGCATTAGTCATGGGAGAATGTTGAGATCCTGCATGATGTTCAATATGATCCAGCATTTTCTCTTCTTACTGGAGACATAACACGATATTCTGAGCAAACTCCAACTTTATGAAGCAGTTTCCGAACGAGAAATCCACTACACAAATTTTCTTTTATGAAGTGCTTCAGATGTTGTTTCTCCTTCATGCGTCGTCTAAATGTGCTGATATACTAATCATTTGCATATCCCAACTTCTTACTTTCATGTGATTTTGACTTTCACCAGATCATTCCTTCCTGGTGTTGCAATTTTAATGGCCAGCAGTGTACATGCATACATAAACACATACATTTCTTTATCTGGTCCTGATAACAGAACAGTACCAATTCATGTTTTGCAATTAATGATTTATGATATGTTTAAAGACATTTTATCAAAGTTTGCAAAACCAATCTTTGTTTTGTCTTCTAATTTTGTATATGATGTGATTTAGGGTAAAACACAAAATCGGAAGGCTAGATTTGGTAATAGGGGCTGCAATTAACAAAGTAATGGAAGAACTTTCAGAGAAAGATAGAAATAAATTTTTATTTCCGCATTCTAAGCTACTTCTGTTGAGTATGTGATTACATACTATATAAGTTTCCAGTCAATGATGAAGTGATTTTATATGCTTATGGTGCAGATGTTTCTGCTCTAGCAAATGCATATTTTTCTGATATAAGATATTTTTTGAATAGATTTCCAGTTTTACTTCATTTAGTCATGAAAGATGATGTTGCGACCGATAAATTGCAGCCGCAGTTTACAATTAGAAAACTTGGTTATAAGTTTTCTATTTGTAAACTGTAATTTATAAGTTATAAAACCAGCTAAGATTGACATCCAGTGCAGTTTAATTGGAAAGATGAAAGGTGCTGATGGAATGTTAAAGCGTTCTGAACTGTCTAGAATAATGTTGGCCCTCCTGATAGTAGTGGGTGAGAGGATTTTCAGTGTTGCAAAACTAAGGACTAAATTTAATGTTAGTAATGACACATTAGAAAAGCTTTTATTAGCAAAACCAGGCCTACATGGCAATTGCTATGAAAAAAATTATGAAGCTTCTTTCTTAATGAAAGCAAAATCTGCCACTGTTCATAGCATTTGTATGAAAATTGATTCAAATATTTCTTGTTAAAAGATGCAAATAATAAAAATGTTTTTTTTTTACATGTAAGTATTTTTGTACTGTTTGCATTTAAAAATTAGTATATGAATGTTCAGATATTATTAGATACTATATAAAGTTAATTCATTATTAAAAAAGGTATTTATATCATTTAAAAAATCTTTTTGTTGTTGAGAAAAATCTGATTAAAAAAAATGTCCTGATGTTTGAATGTCATAGGTTAGTAAGTATGCATTTGAATAATATTATATGCCACTGTACACATTTTGAAGAAGTTTGTAGAGATATTAGGAATTTTTGGAAGCAGGAGAGATGAAAAATGAGCAATGCCCTTACCAGGACTCAAACCGCGGACCTCTTGAATTTGCTTCAAGTGTGCTGACCACTACACCACAAAGGCATGCTAAGAAGGCAGGAGAAATACCGTATAAGTTATTACAGTAATTTACTTGTTTAGTAGGTATTAAATAATTCTATAATATGATTTGTTAATTTTATTATTTTCATCAACAAGTATGTGTTTAATAATAAAAAATAATAATAAAGATTACATGTCCAGTTACAGAGGCAACTGCAATAATCACAATCTGTTGAAAATTATCTAAGATGGATTAATGTAATCCAGAGAATTTATTTGAAAGCATTCAAATTACCATTCCAATTTTACCTTACATTAGCGTATTTGACAATTTATTTAGATAGTTGTATATTCTTTTATTGCTCTCTCTGTACATGACAAGTTCTGTTTGAAACATTAAATAGGGCTCAATTATGTATTGTTCTGTGTTTTATATAATTTTTATTGCTTCTTTTTTTATTGACTTTTCCCATTTTTTATATAATTTTAATGATTACACCACTGTTAACAAGTTTCAACTTCCCATACAAAAAGCTTAACTTGACATATTTCACTACCCCAAAATTTTTTCTCTTATACTATTAACCCGTAACTGGCGAGGTGTGGTCTCAGATACCGCTACAGGTGTTGTTCCTATCACCAATATTCTATATTTAGTCTAATTGAGTGGATTCTTCTGCTAGCTTCTCCTTTCGTGGCCTTGATAATTCTCACCCAGTAGCTAACATTTTTTGCACCTGCTTCATTGTGAAATTCTGGTCCTTTGTTTGAGAGCGGTATGTCAGACCGCACCTTCCTCTCAGTGTTACGTTTTCTGTCCTCATGGCTGTGAGACTCGGTCCGAGAAATATCATATATCCTTCTGATTCATGTTATGCAGAAGAGCTGCAAAGAATTCTTGATGAAGTAGGAAGTGAATTTAGCGACGAAGATGAATGCCAAGAAGATTTTGCAAATGAAAGTTCACATTCCACAATATCAGAACTTTCTGAATCTAACAATGAATCACTGAACCAGAGAGTGAAGCTATATTTCATCTACAAAATATTATTATGGGAGAAACCGCTTCAAGTGGTCATCTATTGAACCACCTCAACGAAATGTGACAACACCTGTGCATAATGTAGTTCATCTTCCAGGATTAAGATCATATGGAGAATTGGGTGAAAATACAGATCCTAAAAGCGTTTAATAACTCATTTTCACAAACGAAATATTAGAGAAAAAGAATGAACTGAAACCTTCGTATTTATGCGCAAGTTGTAAAAGGCTAGTTTGTTGGGTATGTACACAAAAATTATGTCACGAATGTGCATAAGAATATGCAGAGTAAATTGATATTGATTAAGAACACAATGATATTACTGATAGTTAATGTACTGTCATTTTTTTATGTTCCGTACAATATTTATATTTTTCATCTGAATGTATCTATCACATGGTAAATTAATGGAAAATAATTATTATTCATAAAAATAATAGTTATTCTGGTTTGTTTTGCGTAATTTACATTTGCAAGTGGTTTTTCATAAAAAAAAAAAAGTTAATGTTGCAGAAAAGACATTCTTTGTATTGATTGATTTCTTTGTAAAATATTTTGCCCCCCCCCCTGTTTGAAGATAAGTGTTTATAGAATGTATGGGTAAAATAAAATTTTAATATTTTGATTAAAACTTTTTATTTAAATCGTAACGAGACGCGGTGTCTGTGACCGCACATCCCCAATTATGTCCCAATATTTGACCTCCCCTTTTACGTGTTAAGACATGTAATATTTACCCTACAACGTTTTCCCTCAGATAAGATAATCAAGATTTATATTCCTGTTAATCTCTATATATGTATGGAAAGAGAGTCAATAAAACAGTATGCAAATATTAAGAGAAAAAAGGCAAAATGAGAGCCCCCCCCCCCCCCCCCAAAAAAAGAAAGAAAATTAAATACAATCTCTGATAATTCAGTTTTTGTTAATTGACTTGTCAGCTTCAGAAAAAAATGCTGTAAAACTGTCATATTTCTTCAGAAGTCAGGATAAATTTAGAAAATAATGCTAAAGTTCTGAATTAAATATATTCAGTTATAGAGCCTACATTAAAAAAAAAAATCTGTGTTTAATTTTAGTTATTAAATAGAAATGTGTTGGTTTTTTACCAATAAAAAATTACTTTCATCTATTTAACTTTACCGAGAAAGAGTTATGTGTTTTGCTTTAAGTAAAAACATTTTATTTTCCGTACCTGTTTAATATTTTTGAAATACAGTAAAGTTAAAAAGTATAATTCCATCTTATGAATATCTAAAGCATACACTTGGCTTTTGGGGAAAAAATTATTATTTGCATTTTTAGAATATTCAGCAGTTTATGGTCGTGTATAGCCCAAATATTTGGGGTTCTTTTGCAGTTTATATAAACAAATTATGTATGTGTCTTTTATATTAATACATAAAATTAATATAAATTTACAGAAAATGTATATTTAATTATTTTCTCCTCTAATATATTCATGATCAAAAGGGTTTTCCCCCTTCCTTTCTTTTAGATGATGATGATGAGGAGGAGGAGGAGGGTGAACAGTATGACTCTTCTCGTGTTTTACAAGAGTTATCAGCTGATGATGAGGATGATTAGCTTTTGTTTTATTTCATTACAAAAGTCAGTTTTAATGGCAAAAACATGTTGTATTAGTGATTTTGTGTGTGTGTAAAAATTGAAATATTGTACAAATGTATATTTTTTTAATGTGATAAATGTTTGTATTTGACATTCATAGAGTTTATTAATTATTTTATCCTGTATGTTTACTATATAGGGTAAATTTTTTGTAAGGCACTTACAGTTGCTAAAAATAAAGCAAATTTTAAAATCGGAAAACTGTTCAGGGGCTGCTGATGAGCAGGTTGCGATATGTGACTTTAACTTTTCTAAAGCATATTTGGATGACGACATAATGAAATATATATTTAATACACTGTCATTAATGAATGAAGTTATATATTTTTAAAGCTGACCTAAATACCATGCATGTAAAGCATTTGCATTTAGATATCAGGTATAATAAAGGTCGAAAGTTTATTTATTCATGCACATGTATCGACTGAGAGAGTATTTGCATGTGTGATATTTTATAATGTTATTTGCTGTTTAAATCTGTTTAGTAAGCCCATTAAGTATAAAGAATTTTCTTTGTATTTAATGGACAAAAACTTAATTATCAATGAGAATCGTAATTTCTCATCGATAATTAAAGTTGTAGTATTTATTTAATAAAAATCTCTGGCTTTTAATAAAGTCTTGTTATATTACAGTATGCATTATGGTCCAAATATTTACAGTTTGAAGATTTTACTCAAAACATTCATTTATTCTAATACAGTGGTTCTCAAATGCCCCCCAAGGCACCCTTTCACTATACTAGATCCAGAATGAAAAAAATACATATGCACTTATTTAAATTTAGATTTTTAAAAGTTTTTAATGTGTTTTATAAATTAAACAAGGAAAAGCATAGAAATTGATAAATACCAAAATTTTTAACCCTTATAGAAGTTAAACAGAAATGTTTGTATTTGTTCTACTTAAAATAACCTTAGTAATAATTAAAAAAAATTAATTTTATTCAAATTTCGTTTGAAATAGTTGCCACAGTTTATTCACTACAGTGGACAGCATGCATATATGTACATGCATACAGATCTCTTCCCAACGATTTACGGTCATTGCATTTGAAATCATTTCCTGCCTTGTTTGCAGTGATCATTACTATCTTCTAAATAGTAAATTTACAACTGACATGTACATACAGATCCCCCAAATACCTTCATTTCATTGATTGTGATTGAATTCATTTTGCTACGATTTTGTAACCTGTACCTACTGGATTCAAATGTCAAATGTTCTAGAAATTCCTTGCTAAACATAAACATTTCCAGTGGTGTTTTGGCTTGATAAGTAGTACATTTAGGTTTTAATTTGCTCTTTTCGGTAGATCTTTATGTACCCACTCCACAATTTTCTCAAACTGACATTTAAAATAAAATGTCTAAAATTACTAATTATGAATAAAAAATGGCAGTATAAGAAAATGTAAGCAATATTATATAATTTTTACTATGAGAAATTGTACTAACTTGGAAAAAGAAGTAGCAGCCATTTTCCAAATAGCAGTGATTCTCTTAGTGATGCTATACAACCATCTATGATTGGCGGTTGAAAGTTCTAATAATATAGAATAAATAAACACAGGAATGGAATCTGTTAAGGCATTTACAGAAGAATAAACAAATTTAAACTTTTATCTACTAGAGTGTGCATGATGAAACAAAGGGTTAAAGTAGTAAAAATCGTTTTTTTATATTCATAAACTAAAAACTTAACAAATAAATAAAAGTCTGATTGCATTTCCCCCCTGAAACTCCCCCTATTTACTCCTGCTGTGGTAGTTTAATCTAAGCATTTTAAGCAATGTTAATTTATTAGGTAAATTTAACTTTCATCTTGAAAAAATTTAAAAGAGTAAAAATGAATTTGGTAAAATACGCAGAGCAACATAATATTTTTTACAAAACGAAGTTTTGGTTGACAATCCAAGCATTATTTATAGCTGGTATGGTGATCCATAGCTATGGTTAAAATTGCATATATATTAAAAGTTTAAGAAATAGTATTTTTATGTGGCTTTCTATGTATAATTGACTGAAGAAATACAGTTAATTTGCATTTTTAATTATTAAAAATTTTAGTAATTTTTGGGGGTATTTGAATCTAGATTTGAAATATAAGAGGAATGTTAATGGAAAAGTATAACTTCTGAAGTAATATAATAATATGAGTCTGTTTATTTTAATGTACTTAATGTTTGAAAGTACATTAATCTTATTAAATAAGTCTGGAGATAAAAATGATGTTCACGCAGAAATCATATGTATAATAATACAATTGTTTGTCTAAAGATACAGAAATCTAATCCTTTTTTTTTTTTTTAAATACATTCTGCCACTTGCAGGTAATTCTTGCACAATAAATTTAAAATCTAAAATATGAATTTTTCTCTCTCTCCTGTTGAAATATTCAAATGCTTAATTTCTGTGTGGCTATTATATGAAGACCAGATATTTTCATAAAAGTTCATATGTTAACCAACCTTTTGTTATTAGAAAAAAAAAAAAATTTTTAATTTTATAATGAAATTTTTTTGCATTTTCATACTTCTTAAAAAATGGGCATTTGAATATTAATGCAACCAGCATGGCACAGTTTGGCGATTTTTTACAGATGGAAAAGTAAAACTTACTTATCGAGTGCAAGTTGGTATTTTTTATAACTTTTTACAAAGATTCCCAAATTATTGTTATTTATCGTAAATCTGCAGACATTATCAACATACAAAAAGAAAATACTTTAGTAATTTAAAATACAACTTTTAATAATTAAATAAGAATTACATCATACATTAAAAAAATAAAATACTCGCACCAAATCTTTCTATAATTCTTTTATGTTAATTTTTTCCTTAAATACACTGTGATCTGTATTTGCTTTAAAAAAATCAATGTATTGCATTGTGCAAACCTGAACAATGCTGACTGCCTACCAAAAGCATTTCTAGTTCCCGTTAGAGATTTATTGGCGAAATTCTGTATTTGTGCAGAAATTTTACTGCAGTTTCTTTCATTGCTGAAAAATTTCTGTAGAGCGTACTTATAATTAAATTTAAGGCGCAAAATATCACTATTTGTCTATAAAAACCTTTGGAACTTGGAATACAAAAAAAAAAAAAAAAAAAAAAAAAAAAAAGAACACATACAAAAATGGGGACATTGCTCGACTGAAGGATTGGCATGAACATGTTTGCCTGACAAATGGTTATACACATGGTTGCCAGAGTTTGAGCACATACTGAAAATTTAGTGACTTCATCTAAGGTAATTGCAATAAGATATAAATACCAAAAATTCTGTTTTATACAAGCTTGTGCAGAAGTATTACTGTTTGAAATATTTTATTAGTATTTATGTTATTCAGTTGAGTAGCCAAATTAACCACATAATTATCAAGAATGGCACAGAATTTGAAAATAATTTACTTTCTTCAGATAAGTAAGGATTTATATTTGATTGTGAGGTCTAAAAGAAATAATGTTATTACTTCTGTAATTGCAGATAACTTCACATAAATAATTCTATATAAAATAAATATTTGTTTAAGATTCTTAAGAATGATTTCGAAGTCTATCAAGAGTTCTTATGTATGTGAAGCTAAATATGTAAATCTTAATTGTTTGGTGTTTTTTCATGTTTCATGACAGCAGAATCTTTCATGCTAGAGTAATTTTTGTTTCATTTTAGCATAGTTCTTCATATTTTTATTTTTATTTAAAAAAATTATTTATTTATAATTATCATTTGATTGTTTTTTGCTTAATAATTAGTTGTTCATTATTTTAATGGAGTATTTGGAACTATTTCTTTAAAAAATTCAATTGGGCAAGAAAGCAAAATGTTCTCTTTATGTAGGAATATTTGTATTTTGTTTTATTTAAACCGATAGTTAAACTTCTGGTCTTTTTTCATTTTAGACATGACATTTTGTATATTTGGCATTAATTTTATATGATTAGACTATAGTAGTTATTTTTCATCATTATGAAAGTGAAATGTGAAAAATATGCTTTCAAAATGCTTTGTTGTGCAATTATTGTAAAATTGTTTTCCAGCAACAATTCACATTTATATTCACTCGTTTATCAATAAATAATAAGGTTTAAATTTCAGATGCAGTGAACACTCTTGTGACAATCAATCAACCTCCCTCTAACCTGACCCAGGTTATTAAATATATAATTGGCAACTAGGGAATGTCTAATCTCAAAATACAATAAATTACATTCTGTGTAAATCTTATAGAGAGTTAAAGCTTAGAATCGTAGCATAAGACTAAAACAATTTTCTAGCGAAAACAGTAATTAAAAACCTTTATGAATGTTTGTGTTCATTTTATGTGCAACATTCAAGTTACTTTTACATTTATGATTTGTTACAGTTCTATAACTGCAAAATTTTATTAATTTTTATAATTTTGCCAAAAACCTAGTTTTATGATTTTAGTGTGTAAAATTAATTTTCTTCGAATTTCGCTATTTTTTATTTGGCTCCAAAAATAAAGTTTGGAGATTTGTTGCCAAGTTTTTAGTAAGTGCTTCTTGTGGATAGTTTAGTTACTGTTTAAATTCTGCCCTGTATGGTATCAAAAGAGAATTTTTTCTTTTGGGGTATGAATTCATTCATTAACCATCTCCAAAATTTGGTGACTTGTCAGTAGTGGGATTTTTAGATTAATTTGTGTACTTGCATTACTATTTTGGAAAAATACCGATTTTAATCTTAACGTAAGAGCATTATTATGATATTATTAGAACAAAAATAATGTGTTAAAATTAAGTTATTATAGAAGAATACACCTAGCCCTCGATTTACACGGAAGATAGATTCCACACAAAACCATGTTAATCGAAATCTTGGATTTTGCTATGTAAAACCATGTAAAACGCAAAACACACTAAATGTGCGTAATTTAGAATACACCTATCCCTTGATTTACATGGAAGATAGGCTCCGTGTAAATCGAAATCTTGGATTTTGAGTGTAAAACACAAAACCCTGTAAATGTACATAATTATTTTTTTTACATAAAACAAAAGTAAGAAATCTTAAAATAAAAAAAGCTATACTTCGTTCATAAAATAACAAAGTAATAGACATACATATTTAG